CTAAACGCCCAAAAAAGAACGACTGAGACGTCACAAAAAAGGTTATCACAGCACCGGCAGTGGAATGGGCTATCAAGTCATTTCAGCCCTTCAAATCTCCCGGAGAGGATGGTATATTTCCAGCTCTTCTTCAAAACGGGCTGGAAATAATTTTACCTATTATCACAAAATTGTAAAGAGCTAGTCTGGCGAGGAACTATATACCACCCTTGCTGCCAACCAAATGGGAGTGTGGATCTCTCCTGCCCTAAAGTGGGCCGGAGATACCCACACCCCAAATTGGTACGACCAATCAGCTTTACATCCTTCCTGCTGAGAGGACTTGAGAGGATACTGGACGGGCATATCAGGAGGAAAGCATTATATGCATCCCCCCTGAATAATCACCAGTATGCTTATGTGACGATTGTCAGACCAATGATCAATTATGGTGCAATTGCTTAGTGGCCGAAGGCTTTACAGAAAACGGCCCAAGCGAAACTCTCTGGCTTACAGAGATAGGCTTGTCTGGCTATCAGTGGTGCCATCAGTACCACACCGTCAGCGGCCATAGAGATCCTTCTAGATTTACATACAGACCTGTGCACATTGCCAATTGCAGAAATCAATTCAAAGCAGAGTGCAACAGTCTGTTGGTTGATATTGGAAATGACCTCTGACTTTATGCCTCCAACTGTCAACTACGAACTGCCTTATAAAGTACTATTCCCGAGTAGAGAGGACTGGATCCTCCGGGAAAAGGAAATATTAAGAGCAGATAGTTGTTAGTTCACAGACGGATCAAATATACCTTTCGGTTCTGGTGCAGGTGTTTCCAATCGCAGACCCAGGAAAGAGTTATCGACCTGCCTAGGAACCTATGCGACTGTATTTCAAGCGGAAATTTACGCTATTGAATTGTGTGCGGAGGAATTGGATAGTTCTAACCTCACTCACGAGTTAATACAAATATTTTTGGACAGTCAAGCGGCATTGGAAGCTCTTGGCTCCTATCTAGCAACGTCTAAATTGGTAGCAAACTGCCAAAAACGACTCCTCGATAGGAAGACTCAACAGATTGTCTCTGGTCTGGATTCCTGGCCATACTGACCTGGAAGGCAATGAAGCTGCTGACTTCTTTGCAAAGGAAGGTGCTGCGAGTGGCTTCATTGGACCAGAACCTGTTATTGGCATCGCTTTGGGCTTTGCCAAACACACACTGAACACCTGGATGGCAAGAAGAGTTATGGACTTCTGGCAGAATCTTCCAGGATTGTCTCAGTCCAAGGCGTTTATTCACCCTTCGACGCTTGATTCCAAACAGTTGTTGGACTACAGTAGGAACGAACTACGAAGTCTAACAGGCCTTCTTACAGGTCACTATCATTTGAATCATCATAAGCAGAGACTCGGACTGTCAAAAGACAGTGTGTATCGCCTCTGCCTGGAAAATGATGAAACAGCAGAGCATATATCTTGTGCCTGCCCCGCTGGGGACCGAATCAGGTTCTTTGAGTTCAACAGATCCGTACTCTCACCATCCGACCTGAAAGACCACTCACCATACAAACTAATTGGCTTCATTAAGAAGCTGGGTTTATTTGGCCAAGTGTGAATAGGTGTGAGCCAAAATAAACCCTTGTGGGTTGCAGTGGAGGGTCGAATAGACCCACTCACTTCAGACCTACCTACCTACCTAGCAAAACAGTTGGTATATACTCGAGTGAAATTATGTTTGCCCTCTCCAGGTATAAGTTGAATTAGAGCAATCCAACAAGCTATTTCATGAAGTTCAGGAGCTTCAAGCATTTGGATCAGTGATGCTTTGGGTGACAAAGTTTCACTGGGTTCCACTTTTGCAAGTATCGCACCATCTGTAACGAATCCTGATCACCTATCATAAAAAATGAAAACTTCTAACCTAGTTCCTCACGTAAACATTCACAAAAAATAAACAACTAATCGGCTTTTTATCCAATTCCGACTCATGAAGAGGTTCATACTTATACAGGAAGCCACCAAACGTTTCAAGAAAATTAGGAGCTCACAGAATCGTTAAGATATGGAAAATACTCACTGATGGACTGTATATGATTTGGTCGTAGGGAATATGGAGCAACGATGCTATGTGACAGATCCTGAAATGCTTGAGCTGGAACCAAAAGGAGTCATCTGGATGGTGAAACCTTCTTTCTTTCATGACCAAGAAATAGCACCATCTCGATATGTTATGCAGAGCACGAGACGACAACAACGGTTTTCAAATCATCAACCACCGGTTGGAGAGGTTCACACTTATACAGGAAGCCACAAAACAATTCCAGAAAATCAGGAGCTCTTAGAATCGTTAAAATGAGGAAAATACTCAATGATGGACTGTATATGGTGTGGTTGCAGGAAATATAGAGCAACGATTCTATGTGACAGTTCCTGAAATTCTAAAGCTGGAACCAAAAGGAGTCTTCTGGATAGTGGGGCCTTCTTTTTGACATGACCAAGAAATGAAACTCTCTTGATATATTGTGCAGATCTGGAACCAAAAGGAGTCGCCTGGATAGAAGCTTTGTTTCTTTCATGATATTATGTAAATCTCAAGTTATTTTCACAATTAATACATGATGGAAATTATGTAGTGACTATGATCAAATTAATATGTTCTTGATATCTCTCAATATGATAATTTTTATATCTATATCTTAGAGAATGAATCCTGCCATCAAAACGAAGAATGCCTATCATCAAATGTCTTTGTTTCAGTGACATCGACGATATCAACAGCGACTCGTTACATCTGGATATTTGGGACCACGACGATGAGAGTTCTGTATTGGAAGCAGTTAGTAAACTGAACGAAGTCCGAGGAGTTCGAGGACTGGGTCGATTCTTCAAACAAGTGTGCCAATCAGCAAGACAAAGTTCCCAGGATGACTTCCTGGGATGCGTTACGATACCGCTACAGGTAAAGTATCCAGAGAAATCTTCCACAGAAGCCAAAGCCAAACTTTTGGTGGTTTTGAGTCTGTAAGAAACCATTTCTTCCTAGGATATTCCTTCGACGGGTCTGGAAGGTTGGTTCAAACTGGAGGCACGTTCCCAACGTAGTTCTGTGCAGGGTCGGATCAAGCTAAAATTGTGGTTGTCGACGAGAGAGAACAGGGGCAATTCCGAAGAGGACAACTGGAGCGAGCTGACGCAACACGAGAACCTTTACGTCACCTTCGTAGACTACGAGCTGAGAAACTGGGCCAGAGAGACTTGGTCGTGGAACGGTGACCTTTCCGGCCCTGCACTCACGATTTTGCATCAGCACGCCGTTCAAGGTGAGAACGAGGAGTTTCACCAAACTTTATATTCTTTTCTGTCAGTTTAAATATTCATGAATGCTTGAAGAAGGAAAACTGTCACCCTTCACAGAATGCTATTGTGAATAGAATATGCGAGTTAACGAAACCATCTCGTTCGACAGTTCTTCAAGTCATTAAAATACGGGATGTCATTGCAAACGTTGATGGTGCTACAAAAGATGTGATTCGGTGAACAATTTATGGTGTATACCAAAAAAATGCAGTACCAACCTTGGAAATGATTTGGTATAAATTACTCGACTATCCCGATTACAATTACAAATCTGCACAAACTCTACGAGGTGTCTTATTGTCTTGTGGTTTCAAATATAAAAAATTCAACAATCGGATAGTCATAATGGAATCGACACGCATTGTTCAACTCCGACAAGAATAATTGAGGCGAATGAAAAGCTACCGAGAATTCAGCAGACATAATATAATCTACCTCGACGAAACTTGGTTTGACACCCATGATGTTGTCAAATATGGCTGGGTAGACGAAACCAAGTATTGTGCTTTGAACACACCTTCTTCAAGGGGAAAACGTGTTATAATTTTGCATGCCGTGAATGAAAGTGGTTTCGTACCTAACGCTTTGCTTCTGTCGGCCAAAAATATAAAAGACTCGTCTGCTGATTAAGACGAAGATATGACTGCGGCTTTATTCGAAACCTGGTTCAGTGAGCAGGTTCTCCCAAATATTCATCCAAACTCGGTTATTGTTATGGATAACGCTTCGTATCATTCTCGGTTATTGACTACAATACCAAAAAATAACGCAAAAAAGCAGATACTGTTGATTTCATGCGAAATCATGACATGGAAATACCCGAAAAGATTCCAACGAAAAAAGCATTACTGGCGACCATAAAACAACGTAATTTCAAAAAAGAGTATATTATTATCATTGGATGTGTGAAACACGCGGTCATATTCTCTTACGTTTGCCTCCATACTATTGTGTGTTCAATCCAATTGAAATGGTTTGGGCCACAATGAAAGAAAGCTTGCGGAAATGTAATCAGTCACCGAATGCTGTGGTGCTTGACAATAAAAGGCGAGTGGTGAATGAAGTGGGTAACAGTGATGTGTGGAAGAACTGTGTGGCCCACGTTATAAAAGAAGAGAACAAATATCATGTGCAAAGTTCCATAAATCCGATCGTTATTCAACCCGATGATTATTCCACCTCATCCGAATATAGCGAAGAAGAATTTTGATTTTTCTACCAATTTTGTTGGCCTCTATTATTTTGTAAATATATAATTGACGAGAATTTGGTATTATTATTTGTGTGTTCATTGTATTTCAGAGTTTTCGACTCGGAAATGAACTACCTTGAATTTTGAAGTTTTTCATAAGTACCCATGGTGGAAAATTTAGTTGAGATAACTTTTCCATGGGGTGATCAATTGCTATGATTGTAAGAATAAGTATCTGAAAAACTACCACTGAAAAATGATAGGCCGACGCCTATGTCGAGGCGGGAATTCCTTCTCTGTGCTGTTCCACTTGGTATTGGAAATACTATACATCCACCTGAGGAGTTGTCCTCCTAGGTTACCTTCCATCCTGTCCTTTCCAGGAAGGTGAACAGGTCAGTGGAAGACATCTCCTTTATATCTGCAGGTGTAGGCCAAGACTCGCCAAACACACAATCTCTTATTGACGATAACTCCGGGCACTCGCATAGGACATGCCTGACAGTTTCATCTTCCTGTTCACACATCCTTCATAGATGTGTGTTCACTAGCTCCATATTGTAGAGGTGCTTCCTTAATTGACGGTTGCCAATCCGAAATCCTACTGTTAAGCGTAGATTTGTCCTGGTCATCGACAGATATTTCTTCAGCGCCAGCTTCCCAGGGTCGCCCAAGGTGATCCTGGCAAAATTGTATCCTTTGATTTCATTCAATTCCTTCAGAAATATGTTATTATCTACCGAGGCTTTGGCTTAATCTTGGTGGCACTATAGTACTAGCCCTGAGGTAACACGTTGTCTGTTCAAGGCTAATAGGGTTTGTCTGCTGTCCGTGCAGATTGGTGCTTTTGCCAGACATTCATTTCCTGAGCCTTCTCTGGTTTTTCAGTCGTCTGTATATATGCGTATTGTAGGGTTTATTAAACACAAACCTGGGTTCGATTGCATCACTGGTTGCCTGCAGCAGAGGTTGCGCAGTAAGCGCTTCTCGCCATAGGCTTAGCCTCAATTGACCTATTCCTACTTCGAGGTTTACACCAGTCGTGCGCAATCATACCATGGCCATTAACGCAACCTCCTCAACGTACAGGTCCAGAGGGGCCAGACCAGTAATTAATTCTATTGCCGCGGTTGGTGTTGTTCTCATGGCTACTGTGATATTCAAACAAGCCAATCGCTGTACTTGATATAATTTTTGGATGGCGTTGCTTGTAGAACTTTCGGTCCCCATGCAATGGTTCCGTACGTTAACATATGTCTAATTATTGCAGTGTAGATCCAGGTGACTACACGGGGTGAAAGACCCCATGCGCGTCCCACTGTCCTCCGACATTGCTCATAAGCCACATATGCTCTTTTTGCTCAACTCTGTAGGTGAGAGTTCCATGTTAGCTTCCTGTCGAGGATAGTACCAAGGTATTTCACCTCTTCAGAGAAGTTCAGTTCGCTTTTGAAGATTTCGGGAGGTTTCAAGCCCGATAAAATCATCGATTAATTGGAATTATTTTAATGATGACAGGAGACCTCACCGATCTTCAGACGGCCATGGCTAGATTTGTAGGTGCTGCTAGAGTTTATTTGAAATATTCTCTGGATCCCCGATGGATGCTACAGCTTCTCAACGATGTCGAAACAACATGGATCAATTTCACAATCACCAGAGAAGAAGAAATGTGGTTAGCTGAAAAGTTCACGGCCATGCAAGGTAAGAATACAGACTGATTCACGGTAGACGGTGCATCAGACGTTTCTGGTGAACAGACACTAGATCACTTTGAAAATTCATCGAAGGGCATATTCGGAAATTCTCTACCCAACTGAAATATTTCAGAAAATGCGGTGTTGCCACTTCCATTAGAAAGTAGTGGCAACTTTGATTTGCAAAAAAACCACTCTGTATACAATATTATTTTTGAAATTTACAACAATTACCTGACAACTTTCTGTTACCGTTTTCGAAATATGAATCAATTTGGATTTTTTTCTTCAGAAAGCATGACCTTTAAAAATGCTGATATCTACAGGTATGT